GCTCTTAGACGCAAACAGGCCTTACATTTCAGTTTAACTCATTTTGAAAAGACTATATTCAATAATACATGTAATGCTAATTAATAGCTTAGAGAAGTCACCATAATTGTTAGTGATTGTGTTGTCATAGTGCTACTGTTGTTGTTGTTGAGGCGGTGTACTTCAGCATTTTACTTCACAATCTTAACTTCATCAATATCCATTATTGTTTACCTACCTGACTTCCACTTTAGTCGAATTAAATATGTAAATGTGTCGTTTTAGACTCATATTTTGCTATCACCGTGTTTTCAGCACCTTGGACAAGAGCGCGAAGATTTCGCGCGCTGGTAAAATAAGGCGCGTTTTTGCGAGCGCGCAACCGACATTTCAGGAGCGCGTCCTCCTTTTACTTAAAACTGCTTGCTCACAGCGGGACGAGCTAAAATAAAGGGCTTTTTTTTTTTTACAAATTTAACTACTTTTAACTTAACAATACTTCAGTTAAAAGCTGCACACAAACAAGGAGAGGCTGAAAGAAGCAATCAGCGACAATCACACACACCTGTTCATGTTCCTGTAAACCCCACGCGCGCACACACACATGCACGAGCGTTCAGAATAACAGATCTGAGATGTAATATGATTAAATAAACCCGCTTCGCATGTGTGTTGTATTAAAGTATAAAATTATTCACGATAAACAACGGGATACATGTTTAATAAACAGCGTCACAGTGTAAATCTTTCATCAGTAGCTACTTTTCTGCCTCGTTCAACCGTTACAAAATGTCGTTAATCAAAACCAGACGCTCAGGCGATCAACAATCATTTCAAGCGGAGGAAACGAGATTAATTAGCCTGTTTCCTTTCAAGTCTGGTTTGTTAACTCAATTACACGAACAAAAGGCATTCATAAAAGCAGAAATATCAAATATTCGCGATAGAAAATGAGTTAAACTGTCTGTCAAGCGAACATCCGTCTCAAGGTGGAACATATTAAGGTGGTCTACTTACATGTGAAACTTCGCGTGTGTTCAGCTTTCTCCGTGAAAGTGTTCACACATGATTTCCTCTGATCAACAGAAAGAGCCACAGGAAAGCCATCATAAAAATCCCGCAATCAAAAACAAGTTGCGCATTTAATGTTCCAAGTTCAGTCTGAAGTGAATCCAGGCGCAAAACACCATTAAATTCCGTCTTCACATCATCCCGAGCGTCTGTCTGTCCGGAAGGTGTGTCATTGATCCGCAATTCCCGAAGATAAGCGGAAAAGCAGACTCCAGTGCACATGAAGTTGCGTCTGTAAAGAAGCGGATCCCCGTCTGAACTGATCTGAGAGCAGCAGAGAGCCGCTGGTTCAGATGTTCCGCCTCCTCCACGAACACCATCTGGCTCAGACCGCTTTAAAACACTGTTTGTTTGACCGAAAAGCCACAGAAAAAGTGCTGAATAGAGTGCATTATGTTATGTCATGTTGTTTAGGTTTTGTTATGCAGGCTGGACCATTTTTCCTCCATTGCGAATGACTATATTGTGAGTTGTGTTCAAATGTGTGTGTTTATATTGTTTTTTGTCCATTGTATTAGATATTTTATATTAATATATAATATGTATGAGTATTTGTATTTATTATGGCAATAATATAATATAATATAATATAATATAATATAATATAATATAATATAATATAA